TAGTTGAAAGCTTGAGGGTGTTACCTAGCTACCCTGCGTCTCCCAGTAAACCGAAAATTCTATATAAGTGAACAGCTCTTATTTAGTGCCTCTCCATCAAATGACACACGAATCCATCATAACTGTGCCCTTACTAGATCCGACATTCAGGTCACGTACGACACATCTTGTTGCCCATTACTTTTTCCCGTTCCATACCGATTTTTGAGAGATCTCTCTAGAAACGTAGATGGAAAGTTAGGAAGTAGCTCCACATTGTGCCGTCGTCACTCAATATCAATTTCCGGTCCTTTTCATGTCGAATTCTCAAAAGTTCTACTTTTTCAGGTAACAACGTTACGTTAGGAAGGAGGAAATCGCTACAGGGTGTTTCGACAAGCTTTTCACTCCTCTATACCAAGTGATCACGAGAATTGGGCAACCCATGTAACTTCTGAATCTCTTGATAGAAGTATGCAATTTTGAGGGTTGTGATAACATCTCAATTGGGATTCACATATCCAATCACACGCTTGAATCACTAACGGTTTCAGCATAAATGACCTCAACTTACGAGACTCAATTGGGACACCTTCTATACTTCCACATTTCTGGATGAAGGAAATCATTTTAATAACAGTTGTATGATTTTCACAGAAAGATATCGTAGTCAACTAGACTCTTCACAATCCGTTCTTTCCAGAATTCATTTTGTTTTCATCCATTTTGCGTTTCGGTTTTGGAAGGAATATTGACAAAAAATATGTTACCTAATCAGATGAAGGATATTCCACCAAAATAATTACCCATTCGAAAAATCAAGTGCATTTAAGGAAAATCATTCATGATCACTTGGAGAGCTGATTATAGGCAAGATTATTGTGGAAAAATAAGATCCCAATTTTTCCCTTGAGAACTGATAACAATAACGAGGCGTAGCCGAGTTGAAAGCATATTCCAGATGACCTAAGTATTTCGCACACGAGTTGCGAACAAAAATTTTTCTACAAACGTCAGGAAATATTAGTTCTGAAGTAGTGAGATGCTAAGCTCAATATAAGAAATAGCATTTCCTCTTCTTTTCTCCCAAATGAGTACGCACGATGTTCCACGAATATTATAGGAATTTCCATTCGTGCGATCGAAGATATGAAAAAAAAAACATTGTTGAACATTCAGGAGTAAATGATTCATTGCATGTTTGCTCGACTGAGGACCTGAAAGTTGAAATTTGGAAATCTCATATAGTTTACCAACAATGCGCGAAGTATGTGCTTACTGAATATTCGTTACATCTCCAATTCTGGTCAGGACATCAGTATTCAATGTTGTGTTCAGTTTTGAAGACCTTGACAATTTCAATGATGTGTCACCTTCTTTTTTTACAAATTCATATTCCTAACAACGTTATCACCAACCTATCTACGTTGTGAGTACTATCCATAATCATGTTCTTCAATGTAGTCACACTGGCACACATATTACGTCTGAAATTTGTTCCCCTTCTTATTCATTGAAAAAACACCTTGTGTATCGCAACGAAATCTGAAGGACTTGAATAAGAGGAAATGACCCACTTTTCCATGAAAAAACGACAGTCTAGAATTCTAGAATAGGCCATCTTGAATTATTTTTCCAAATAGAACCCCTGTAAATTCCATGTTCGGAATCCTCTCATTATTTAAGAAAGTTTTATCTAGAGAAGTTGTTCTAAAATTGATCTTTCCGTCAATCGGTTGCCCCTTATGAGCAATCCTCAAAAGTTTCCAAGAGACTTGTGCCAGCAGGTGATTACGGGGGGGCTTATCTTTCAACGTATCAAACCAAACACTTTCTTGGGCCATCAGAAGAATGTTTGCAGTCTTTTGAATTTGAATCAACGACCAGCAAGCTATCGTGACTAGAAAACTATCGCTTCTATCATCCGGCTACCTACACTTCACTCCTCAATGTGAAAGTTTGAAGAATGCCATTTTGATCTCTTCAAACCCGATCAAAAACTTCGATGTTGCTTCCAATCAAGTTTGCTTACGAAACCATCAAGATGTTACCGCGACTAAGATTTGTTCCATAGCAAACTTGATTGAGAGCATCATTCGAGTTTTTGGTTGGATATGGAATGATCAAAATGTCACTTTTCGAACGTTATAATATTTCGAAAATCATATTGGATATAGCAGTGAGAGAAATGAACAAAACTGTTGAGAATTCAGAGATGATTTCGAGAATGGGATGAGAAACCGGTGTTCCATTCAAAGAAATGAATCAATATTTAGGTCAGCCGCTATTTGAAATTCCAAACTGTTATTATTTCATGGAAGTGTACCAGGTGATTAAAATATTAGTAGGAGAAAACGGACGTTAGAGGGGCACTATATGTCCATGTAGTATCCCTGATAATGGAAATGAAATACCTTCCGAAAGCTTGAAAAAAATTCAGAGAGGTTGTTCCAAAAACTACACAAACGATAAGCTCCTTGAAGTGAAATACTCGTACAAGTAAGTCAACTTACATTGACTTGCTGAACTACCTGTGAGAAGGTTAGTTAACTCTTTAGTTTCGGAAAGTACGCTTGATAATCTACATTGAATTTGTTGTACTTACCGGATCAACTTGAAAAGACTAATCATTACCTACTATAACAAGAAGAATTCAACATCGGTGAAATATTGAACAATAGAGCACTCTTGTGAAGAAGGAATTTCCTCATCGGTAATCTTCGAATGGCAACCTTATTTTACGAAAGTACTGAATCAATTTTCTTCGACCTATTTTGACCCTCTGTGCGTATAGTTTTGAAGTTTTATATATTTTCATTATAAAACCAGACAATATATTTGTCGATCTGAGGCTGATTTAATGGTGGAAAATTGTCATTCTCCTTTCAGCAATTATATCATGAACCAGTAAAACTCACTAAAGAAACTTCCAGTGCTCTTCAACTTCAATGCTGTTACCTCAGCATCTATGGTTGTACAAAGTGAAATCAGGTCACATCAGCATAATTATATGATCTGATTCATACGAAGATGATATATTATATAATCTAATTCCATAGATGAAAATCCGAAATCATCTGCACAACATTTATTAGAATGATCAAGGATCAATCCTAAAGGAACATGTTTCTGGCTCATATAAGCCCTCCATCAGCCAATAGATATGGATACAAAAATTGCATGGAGATAAAAAAAGTGGACATACAAATAGTATAGTTGAATCATCAATTCAAGGGCACGTGGGCACGACCTTTCACCGATATATTTATAACATATATTAAATTCATAACATAATGATTGAATCATTTTACAGTGACAGTGAGTTTTTTCCATGTTGTTTCACTTTGTCCCTTGATATTTCTGAATCAATCGTTTTCCAGATCATGGAATATAATTCCCTGTTTGCACTGTTATTAACTATATTAAGGGTGAAAGAGGGACCAGAGCAGAAGATTTACATCTGCTCGGATAGTCAGGCGGCTCTCAGGGCTATCTGCCATCCTAAACCAAGCTCAGCTTTGGTGCAAGAATGTGGCGATACTCTTGAGAAACTAGCTGAACAGAAGGAAGTCGAAGTAGTATGGGTTCCGGGTCACAGTGGGGTGCCCGGGAACGAGGTGGCCGACGAGCTGGCTAGACTCGGATCCGCGACACCGTTCTGGGGACCGGAGCCTGCACTGGGCATAACAAAAAGCCAAACTTCGTCTGCCCCTAAGAAATGGGCGGACGAGGCACTAGAAGGATATTGGAGGCGTATAGGCGGCTGCAAGACATCGAGAGAACTGGTGGCCGGTCCAAGCAAGCCAAAGACGGCTTGGTCACTGGGCAGGGATCGCCAAGTCATGCTCCTTCTTATAGGGGTACTGAGAGGGCACAACAGGTTACGGAGACACCTATCACTCATAGGTGTGGAAGATAATCCCACTTGCCGTGAATGCGGAGAAGATGAGGATACATCACTTCACTTCCTCGGAGAGTGTGAGGCGTATGGAAGGATGAGATTCGAAATCTTTGGAGTAGATAAACTACAACAGGAAGATTTGGTCGAATCAGAGTGGACGGACATCCTGACCTTCATCAGAAGGACGGTAAGGTTCGAAAAGGACAACTAAAAGAGGGATGTGTAGATATCTGGAGAGCAGGGGTTGGGAAAATGGGCCCATGGGGGCCTACTTGCCTGGCTACAGCCTCCTGACAATACTACTACTACTACTTCTACTACTACTTCTATCGGCTGATGGATGATGATGTTCCTTTATGACTGATCATTCTATATAATAAATGTTGTGGAGACGACTTTGGGTTCTCATCACCACTCCACTCTGAGTTACCATGGACTCCATTTAAAGATTATAATATGTTTTTTTCTGTGACGGGAAAAAAGTTTGGCATTTCATCTCTGTTGGCAGGTTATAAAATGTCATTTTCATAAATTACTTTTTTCCCGTGGGAAGAAAGTTAGAACTTTTTCCCCGGATATATATCACATATATATACTCTGTTAATGGCTTTTGTTGTGCTATAGTTCCGAAAAATGAGTCAATAATACCGTCTCAGAGAAAGAACTGCAAGTCCTTTTATCTTCCATTCGACTTCGCGGTTACGTATATTACTAAACAACTACTGAATTCGCAATTTTTTAAAATCAAATCACAGAATTGAACTGACAAAAGTGACGTCAGATATTCGATTACTTCAAAAGAATGATAAAGATGCCTATAAAACGCAGGTGTCCCTACTGTCAAAAACTTGAAATTTCACGTCGATAATTTTCAGATTTCGAAATAATGTAATATCTTCTCAATATTGATTCGTCCTTTCTTCTGTCACAGAAAAAAATAGTGTATTATACACGGGAAAAATATTAGATTTTAGCTCACGGTTTTTTGTCTCCCTCCGCTACGCGTCGGGAGACAACACAACCTGGAGCTAAAATCTACTACTTTTTTCCCTTGTATAATAAATAACTATTGTTATTGGTTCTACTAGATTCACTGAAAAACTGAAACCTATGTACTCACAGTGTTTGCTGGATCGCCTGGTACAGAAATGCAACTTTTCACGATCGCCCAAGATAGTATGAACACCATTGGAAGACCTAAAATGATCGGAATATTACGTATCAGTGAAATCATAATATTTCTCAAGATGAAATACTCCATTGAACAGGGTGACATTGAAATGAATACAAATAAAAAACTGTTGTATCAATAATTGATCATTTTCAATTATTATTATCATGTTTGTAGGTGAGAATATTCCAATATTCCATTGAATGCTTTCGAGACACGACATTAGTGCCTTTAGATTGTTATTATACCACTCGAATATCCATAACTCCGTTTGTGATCAATTTCATCAATTAAGCCGAAATTGGACTTGTCAATGAGGTCTCCTTCTTCCTCCAGAGACAATCATGTTCTACTTGCTATGTTTTTGGAATGTGTATGCTAACATTGTGAGAAATGTTACTCTATTCCGAAGGTCTTTTTTCAAAAATCAAATCAATTGTGAACAAGTGTTTTCTGGAATTGAACTGTTGCAAGGAAATGAGACTTTTGATCTGATTTCGTTTCAATGCGTCCCTTTTCCAGAACGATCCTGGGGAATACAAATCATCGTATAGGTAATATCATAGTGTGTTGCATCTTCTCATTCAAAGGATATTTTAATCATACCATCTAATAACATGCAGATACTTCCGAGATGATACTCACCCCATCCGATGCATGCATAAATTCTCAGCTTGAAACTTTCCCTCGTCAGCGTTTCAACCACGAGAATATAAAGATAGAGACCTGCGATGAAAGGGAACTTAGATTAACTTTCATGTTCTGAAATTCACTGAAGTATTAAAACATCAACTATTATTATCAAATTGAAGCTAAGGAAAGTTACTCTGATGAAGTACTGGTGTGTCTTAGAAGGAGACTAGCAAATGTTTCGAATCATTTACTCTCGACTAATTATATGGAATTTCAAATGGAAACCAAAACTCAGTACAGTAGGCAAAAATACATTAATTCAACGTTAGACTTCGGCGAGGGTTCCAATTTCGATTATGATAATATCTTGACAACAAATAATATTTAATAATATATTATCTCGTTCAGATCATTTATCGGATTTCTGAATTTTCCACAAGGTTATGTGAGGAATTGAGGATGATTGATTTCATCATCAACCGAACTATTCGATTCACTGAATCATTGGTACAACAACAAAATTTCATGAATAATCAAATTTGCCAAGTTCTTCGAATTCATGATCTATTGGAGTAACGACCTGCTTGGTCCACAGCTTTGCAGTATACTCTTCATAAAATGCGTTCTTCTAGAAAACTATAGAAACTCATGACGAAAGCAGGCCAATGCTGTCGATAATGATCTTGTTTGGAATAAGGTTGTTGGAAAATTCATATACGTCATACAGAGCGTGGAAAGAAATTCTGAATTGAGAAAACCCAGTCACGAATCTGTAGAAATTACAAATTTCCATCGTTCAACTTTGATCCCCTTGATTGAGTAGGAAGGTATTGGGAAGGAATATCATCAGATAATGATATTCTTGCTGAAATCACGACCTGAGGAATCAACACATGAATTCAACGCCACTAAAACTCAAGCCAATATTTTCACAAGAGAGTCAACTTGCCATTCTCAACCAGTTCTCCATCGATCAGAAATCTGAATAGTAGATATATGATTTGAGACAAACTGATTGATTCAACGACAATATATTCGATATTTCTCCTCGATGTATCAGTCAATTAATTTTTTCTAGAAAAAAACGTAATCAGTCCGTCCCTATTTTGATGCCGCCTCTTCACTACCACCTCACTTTGGTACTTTGAGACAAGCGTGGACTCTTACTTACATTCGAATATACTTAGCAAGCAGATGTTTTGATATATAACTCCTCCATAGAACCAGAATAGGATGTTGAGATAATCGGACCCACACAAATATCTCATCACCTTGTGTTATCAACGTGCCAATCTACACGAATTTATGAATCAATTATGATCATTCCGATTGATATCTTCATTGTTGAACCAATTGGCTCACAGACAAGTCATGAATAGACTATGAGGGTAACACCGGTAATTGGTGGTTGCGTTGGCTCGTCAATCACAATAATTGTCGGTTATCAAACATAGCTAGAAGGGCTTGATGCGATATTCGATTGATCATTCGCTCTTATACATATGGGATACGTCCTATTATTTCACTAGTTCATGGATTGTTATACACGCACATATAGGCACTGTACAGTCAGAATGAGTAGCTGATTTTCATTCAGGCACATAAACAGGAATTTTTACAGCGAAAAAAATAACATTGAACACGCTTTCCTCAATTTCCAATAGAGAATTCCACGAAAGACAACAAGTTAATGATCATGATCAAGAAGGAAAAATATGAACAAAAAATGCTACCAAAGAAATAGATCTGGTTGGGACCAGTGAATTCTATGTAGAAAATATGGATCGGAAAAGCCTATGGCCATAAGCGAAACGTTTCGAATGAAACTATAAAAGCATAATTATTTACTGAAACCAAAACACAAGAACTGTCCCTCCCCATTATATAATAGTTATTCCATTGGAGTGATGTTTGCCAATTTTGTAGAGCTATTTACTATTATTACTTTAGAGTAGATAGTATATCTGGAAGAATCGAATAACAGTTTGGTAATTTCCACTTCATCTCATAAAGTTGAAATTAGTTATCACACAGTGAAAATATCTGATATTCATGATTTTTTCTACTGACACTATTGGAATTTTCATTATGAACACCAAGTTGTATGAGATGAATTATCGATGGATTATTTTTATATTGCAAAATGTTCTCAATATATTTCGGTAGTGACTAGTTCATGCATGTATATTTTTGTTAACATGTCATTTTGAACGTATGATATTCAAGTATCCGAAATCTTGTAATAATTGCTACGATCTAGTGATGAAACGCAAACGTATATCTTGAATGAATTGATGAAAAATGTTCCCCCAGATTGAAAACATGATGATGAATAATGTGTTTCGTAATAGTCTGAACGATAATTCATTGGCATATCTATGCCTATGGACCTGCTGAATGGTACTTCAGCCCATGAACGTCTATCTTATGTGTAAGCGTTGTTCTCGACTCAATCATATACGTATTAATAAACAATACGAATCATAACGGGTGCCAGGATGAAGCCAAAAATATGAAACAAATGAATATCCATAAGGATTTGGTGGCATGATACGCATGCACCATGCGCTATTATAATAGTCATCAAAGACATGCGTTTCGGTGGACAATGACGTTTACTAGCCTTTAAATCAAAGCAGTATGTGTCTGATCGTTTCAAAACTTTTTCTTATGGATAGTCATTTGTCTTCAAAAATCGGCTTCATGTTTCGCTATGGAAACAGATAGAGATTATCCGTATTGATTATTAATACGTATATGGACTCAATATGACACCTCAGGAGCAGCACTGATAATTTGAACGCAATTTCAAAATGAACGTTCGTATATCTGTCAAAGGCTACTGAATTCCGAATCAATGAATCATTACTCTACCACTACCCTGGCAAGTCAGTAGATGCAATTCCACTGATTCGTGAATTCAAAATTTGAAATTGATGACCTGAACTATTGGGATATTGGCATGAATGCAATGTCATATGTGTACTCTCACCTTCAACAAACATCCAAAAAAATGTTGTGATATGGAAGTAGTGTAGAAGTGTAACCATCACAACACACATTAGGGACGTGCTGCTTCCAAAATTGAGCTGCAACATCACAAATCATGTACAGACTGAGCTGTCAATATTGACGGATAAAGGAGCTCCTAATCGAATCTACAGGGTGTTTGAGATTGTAATCAAAAAAATTGGAGTTAGGATAAAAATAATGTTCTTCATTCACAGATAAAATACTCTATGACATCTCAGTCAAAACTCAGCAGGTTTGTTCGTAGGGAAATATATCTTCTGGTATAATACTGGATCAATCGATATTATTCTTGTTGCGCCCTAGAGAGTAACATCATTTATATTCACGGTGACAATAATTGTGTGCTTCATTAGTTATTTGCAAGGATATAGAAGAAACATAACTCCCTTGTGTCCTGACATTTTTCATATCTCAGCGTTTTAGAGAAAGAAAATGAAGACCAGATTTGATAAGAAAGTCGAGTATAGTTTTTTCCAAAACATCAATTGAAACTACTGGTTTGCCAGTAAGAATTCTTCAATTGTTCATAAAGGGTTCTGAATATAGGATGATAATGGAAATATGAATATAATAAGATATTTCTAGTGTCCACCTCCTGAATATCACCAAGAACTAAGTTCTAAAACATATGCACGTTTGTATATAATGTACTATCGCCTATCTGATCTTTCCGATTTGAATCTCAAACACCCTGTATAGTAGTGTGCGTAGAATACTCACCGAAATCAGTGTTAGAATCCACATACAGTACGTCAGCATGTATGACCACATGAGGTTCATATGGATTGTGTTCCGTAAACAACGAAGTTCCCTGAAAAAAATAAAAATTTTCACTCATTAAGTGAGTTCTTCCAAAGTTGGTATGAGGATGATTTCTGATATCTGCAGATTGTGTACCCATACACACTAATGGAAATGAATATTATTCCAAAAATAAGGAAAATTGTGGTCTACAGCGATTTATACAGGCTGATTCACGGTGAATGGATCGTTAGACGTTTCTGGAGAACGCAACGTAAGATTATTTTGAAAATCTGGTTCCTTGGATGAATAATTGTGTTCTATGGACTCAAAATATTCTCGGCGTTGCGACGTTGCCGCTTATATTGAAAGGTAGCAACAACTTTGATTTTTCAAATGGAAAACCTTGTACAGGGTGTTTCAAAGAAACGTAACCTCCTTGCTAGGCTATGTAGAAGATGTGAATTTGTTTCTATATCTGACACTCATAGAGGGCGCTAGTTACACGGTTCGTACCAAGTACTTTTAAACATAACTTTTTTGAGATTAGATTCCTCAGTCCAGATTCAATGTGAACTTGAACACCATTCAATGTAACACTAAAAAAATAATCTTTGCTAGAACTTGATACTGTATACCGTTTTCGGGATATTTCGATCTGGAAATGCTGAAGTATAACACTGATGCTAGTTGAAAGTAAGTATTATAAAATAATGTCACCTATTTATTGATAACCAAAACCAATGAGATCATTTTGATGTGGGAGTTATCAATTGAACAGAAAGTATTAAGAAAAAATCAAATAAATTCAACTTAAACATGTGATATTCAATTCCAAATGCATGATGGAGCTCTTCCACATTTCGATAGAAGGTGCAGGAACAAATTCATGCGGTGTGTCAGGTTTCAGAACACATTTATACAAAATTTCATCACAATCTTGCCAGTAGTTTCGACATAATCGTAAAAAATGTGTAAACAAAATATTTTTTCAACACCTTGTATCTTGAAAACGGATTCCGTTACGACATTTTTTACTGAGCAATTCCAACTTATTTTGCAATGCTCTACCTACCCTAGCGAACAGGTTAGGTTTTTTGAAACACCCTGTATATTTTTCCATATTCAGATCGTACGGTCGTACCAGTATATCACCTGACGAAGCTACTGTGTTACCAGAACATGTCGTGTGTTTGAGAATTTTGTGGAAATATTATCGTTTGTGGAGTTTTTCCATAAATTGATACATTGAGAACTCGCATTCTCTATGTGATGAAGATATCAATTCTTTCTCGGTTTATTCAACAGAAAACAACTAATTTCCTGGCTGAATGCCATACGATGAACATTGAATTATATCTATTGATTACACACGATGAGAATTTGGAAACTGTATGATGAATATCAATTTATCATCATATACATTCAAAAATATCAACAGGGTTGCTACTCAATGTGTAATACGGAACATGAACTTCCTGAATTCGAAAATAATGAGTACCGCAGTGCGGTTTTTCTGAAACATAAAAACTTGACCATAAATATCGAGAGATCGTGCATACATACTATACTATACCATAACATACATAAAGTGAATTGTTGGATATGAAACTATTCTGCCTCAAGCTCCTTTCTAGGGTAACTGCGAGAAAACGAAACATAATCACATGAAAACTAAGAGTTTTTAATTAATTAGATCAAACAGCACCGCACTGCATGCGCGATAAGTTTCACCGATAAGAAAATTAAATGGCAAGGTTGTAATTAATTCAGTTGGATTAATTTCTGACGAAAACATGGTCGACCCAGTTGACTTCTCGGCAGGGTGAAACGGATCTTCAAAAATATCGATGTATGAATTCGAAGTGTGAACCAACTTCGGAAAATATGTACACCAGAGTCCCTCGAATCCCATGGAATTCACTCGGAATCCCACGGAATCTCACGGAATCCCACAGGCATTCCACATGCCGGTACAGGGTGATCAGTTAAAGGTAGCGAGCGGCCATATTTATTTAGGTTTACATACTGTGAGTTAGTGTTTCGCATATACGTATTAATAAACAATACGGATCATAACGGGTGCCAGGATGAAGCCAAAAATATGAAACAAATGGATATCCATAAGGATTTGGTGGCATGATACGCATGCGCCATGCGCTATTATAGTAGTCATCAAAGACATGCGTTTCGGTGGACAATGACGTTTACTAGCCTTTCAATCAAAGCAGTATGTGTCTGATCGTATCTCACTTTTCCTTATGGATAGTCATTTGTCTTCAAAAATCGGCTTCATGTTTCGCTATGGGAACAGATAGAGATTATCCGTATTGATTATTAATACGTATATGGTGTTTCGAGATATGGGCGCCCCATGTAAACCTATTTTATTTTTTGAATCCAAAACCGTTTGTCGAACGAAGAAAAGTCAGATGGTCTTTTTTGTCAGCACCTAATGAGAGATTAAAAAACTGATGTTCATTTTGATGAAAAACAGGGTAGATGATGAATTATTCTCATCAAATTGAAGAGAAATTCATCCTCTTCGTCTTGGGACGGTCCTGAAACTATCAGAAACCAGTACCTGCTCTCGAGCATGAACCGTTCTGGGATCATTTTTGGCGCATGCTCAAGTCATTTAGTTCTCGATTCTGTCTGTTGTAGCGTAATGTCATAATGATATATTTCCGTTCATTCTTCTGTTTATTGCTCTTTTCAATATTTTCCCGATATGATGGAGTTAGTACATTTATTTGAAAGTAGTAGTTCTTCATCTTCAGGAAGCAGTGGTGAAGGAGTTTCTTGCTAAAGTTACTGAGAATATTGTACCTCATCTTATAATACTCGAACTTTAATTAGATTATCCGAAAATTGTAGGATTATGTTGGGGATACTTTGGCATTATATCCAGGTACACAATTCATTGAACATTTCAGGTGGGTGTCGAAATTCAGGTAGGTATGTACAAGGGACAAAACATATTGACGATATAGCTACGAATGTAATGATGGAATAAATTCACCATTTCTCCACAGAGAGTTTCCAGAGATATTGTAAATGGACTGAAAGGGGAGTTTGAAGCTTCAGAATATTATTCGAATAAAGATACAGGTTCCAAACTATTGTTTTTTTTTTCGCAAATGCTTAATATATGTTCTCAGAGGTTCTCATCTGCCGCGTTCGGGTTTCCATAATTTGTGAACCGTTCTGAAACAGTCCTGGGATTCAAAACGACTGCGCACAAGTTCTGCGCAGTCCGAGAACGATTCTTGAACAGTTCTGAACTCGCAACCCGAATGAACCTATCACTAGCGATCGAATTATTGACTTGGAAATGCTACAGTGGCGAATCCGGATTGAGGAGGATGAGTTTTTCGAGCACTTTTCAAGTATATCTGACCACGAACTACAAACTATAAATGCGAAAGTGGATTCTTATGGTCATTTATGAAGTACTTCTGAAGCACTCGTTTTCAGTAGTCACGTAAATATTCATGTTCTCAAATTGATAATCTCCGAAAGAATGATTGACTTCACATATTACAATAGCATGATATCCAATACGGTTGACTTGTATGCTCGCCCGACTCCTTCCACTGTAGGTACCAATAATTGGATCTAGCATTTTTTATACCTCAGCATTCTCACTATGAAAATTATCGGAGGAGGTTATATGTTGCTTATCAGTTGTGAATGAAGTATCGTGTTTTTGTTCCACTCAGAAAATTACATTATTAGCCTTCGGCTTGTGCTGCAACTTACATCTTTGTGAGAAATAGCCATCATTTTGGATTCATCATTGAAGTACAATCATATATATTCAAATGAATACTCTGTTCTTCCTCAGAGTTTTATCAAGAACTAAAAGTAAGGGCACTGAATTCGATATATCAAACTCTGCTATGGTGAATCGAATCTCTTGACATTTGAATAATGAAAATTGAAACCTTGTCATCACCATGCAAGGAGACTTGCGACAGAGTAATCTGTTACTTTGGGGTATCGAAACTACTTATTGTTCATTTTGATGGATATACTCCGCAGGAAACTATTATGCACTAAATGAGAAATCTCCCATAATTGTAATTAAATTGGATGCAGATGGAGATTTCATCAGAGTCAGTAAATTAGTCAACGATGCTATTACGGTAAACTCATTAGTGTTTCAGTGTTGGAGTTATCCGTTACTGGGTAATGATTGTACTCTCATGATCAAACAAGCTCACAAAGAAGCGATTTCTCACTACAAGAAGATATATTTATACTAAGAAGTAGGTACTCCAAATTCTACTTCTTTCAAACGCATTTCATGATATCTACGACTTAGTCGGATGAATCACATCATTCGAGAATTTCAAGAATTTTTTATAAAAATTTTAATTCCTTCTCCACATGACATTGAAAGTGGCCTTCCAATGACACTTAACAAACATAAAAGGTGTACTTCTACTGCCTTGGTAGAAAAAGTTTGTTGCTATACAGCGTTCCAAGTAATTTAATCAAACTGGGAATCAAAATTGACAATGACTCTGGGTGAACAAACGATGGATTCTTTGGACTTGGCGTGGAATTGAAAAGAATTCGGAGAAAAAGATATATGTTTCACATGGCAGAAAAGAAGATGTAATGCCCTGGCAGCCATGGCATTAAATCGCGTACTTTTCTGCGTAGTAAAACGAATAACTATTTTCTTCAGATACCACCGATGACCGTAGTCTCAATTCAATATGAATCATTCACTATGCTTTCTCCATCTGCAAATTCTATAATTTCATTGTGAAAAGATATTGTTTTTAAGCATTATCATAAACTTGAATGGAAACATGAATCATTGAAGTAAAGAGTCCAGTATACTCAATCAGAGTATACCATAATACTCTTCCTATGAGGAAGCAGATTGAACTCTGCAGTGAGCATCATGATACTCTTGGTTCAATTCAATTGATCCACCATCTTATTAATTTGAATATTTTGAAATCATTTAATATTTTTATCATTCGAAGAAATGTATCGTTGCGGAAAATGTGATTTTTTTCAAGCACCTTGATAACTTTGATTGACATCAATGAACATTTGTTCCATCTGAAACATCAGAATGAGAACTATTTTTGAAGGGACTGGATCTCCTCACGATTCGTCCTTATAGGGTTTCTTCTATCTCACCGATTGATATCGCTTGGTCAGCAGCTTTTTGTGTTACATTCATTGTAGTTGTAGATGCCTGCCTTGGGATATCACGCAAATTGTTGCAATTATTAATGTCTATAGCATCGCAAGTGGGATACTGTGTGTACTCACAAGTCATTTCATACTTACGCAAGATGGCGTTCCTTCCATCTCAGCGACTTCAGATCTGATCATTTTAAAATTCGGGAAATCTATCTACATCAACACTTTTTCACCTCTACGAAATTGCATTCACAAAATTACCGTACGTTTCGAAGGAACCATCATCAACTTCGTTTTTCGTATAACACTAAAGCATTTTTTTCGGAATGAAAAAACGAATTTTCTTGAGAATATAACGTTGTACGAAGATTCTGTGGAGGTGATAAAAAAGAAATAGTGCCTTCCGTTTTTTCGGAATTCCTCTGATAACCTCACATGAATGGATCATTCAAGAAAAATAATGTCCTACTTACTTGAAATATGTGAATATTGATATCGCTATGGTGAGTGTGATCAGACTAAGCGTATATCCAACAAAGTATATTGTTGTTTGCGCTTCGACGTTGGCTGATATAGCGATGATCTCCTTGCAGGAAGAATAATCCGATTTGGACCAGGTTCCATTCCATAAACAGTCCCTAGTTGCATTTTCTGAAATAAAAAATTGCCGAATGAAATATTCATCAGTCACATTTCCAGTTCTATAGTTCGGATCGCACACAAGTACTTCCTTATTTCTGTTCGCGTTTCATCGTGTGTGCCAAGAGTGGAAGAGAAGATAGAGAGTTAATATCGTGATATTTTTTGTTTTGTTTTTTGAGATCATGGAGGTTAGTTTTTCCATTTTCTGAGCCAAGAATTTACAAGGATTTCTGCTTTTTATTCTCTTGTCATTTGAAACGTCTTCTGGATTATACCTACCTTCTCTGACGAGCTATCAGAAAAACAAGAAGATGCGATAAGAGTAGGTAACAGTTGAAGTTTGAAAGGGTTCAAGGCGTACGAATTTCAAAACATCGAGACGTCAAACGCGAAGATATGTCAATTACATGTTGATGGGCGTAACCATAGCAACGGTGGCTAGTATGCGGACATTTTTTTTTTCGTTTTGAGCACAAAAAAAAATTCCTAGGATGATAGAGGACTATTGTGTCTGCCTAGGAGCAATAGGGATAGGACGAAGGTATTGGAATGTTTCTTGAACTTTGGAGATTATACATAGAAGTGCGCAAAAAACGGTCAGGACTGTAACTTCTGAATTATTCGAGATGGGGTTTTAAGAATTGGTGGGCAGCAATCAATCCAAATTGCTCATTGACTGATGAAACAATTTTTCCTCAATCGTTTTCGGTTCCACTGAAAACTACCCTATTTTTCGATTTTCAAAAGGGACACCCTGTATTCCATGATCGGTTAGGGATTGTCATAACGAATTGATCGATACTGGGTTTGATAGGGTTATTTCAAACGATTACGCAGATATGCGCGTTCTAAGTTTCCATATGCTCAATGAGTGTGACAAAGAAAGCAGTTTTGATATTGCGAAGTCACCCACTGAGCATATGGAAACTTCGAACTCAAATATCTCCGAAGTTGTTTGAAATAACCCTATCTAACCCGGTATCGTTGGATTCGTCCTGACAATCCCTAAACAATTATGGAATACAATACAAGAAGTCCCATTCGAAAATCAAAAGTTTGGGTCTTTTCTGATGAAACTGAAAGTGAAAGGAGATATATTGTTCCATCGATTTGTTTTACTTGCTACACACCAATTTTCAGAACCCTATCTAGAGTAATTCAGGAGTTACAATCCTGGCCATTTTTTGTGCACTTCTCTGTATAAGTTGTTGGAGATACTTCCATTGGCAGAGGATTCCAAAGGTTTGCCGTTCTATAGACAAACAAATTTTGGAAAAATGTTATTCGACACATTCTAAAGTTGACAACAAGCGGATGTGCTGACTGGGCTTGTCTAATTTGTCTGACTGGCATTGCTAGTGTTGGAATGATACCAGAGATTTCTGAAGAACATTTCCCGTGGAAGTATCTATAGAGAAAAATTAGTGAGTGCGACATCATCAACCTGGCGAATGGCTCTTCTCTGGATGAAATCTAATAGAATTAGCGTATGTTTGGGAGGTGAACCCCATATGCATGTGTGAACAATATTCTAAAACTATATGTGGTTTGTAGATCATGATGAGCTATTGCCCACTAAGCAAAGTTGGAAGCCATATTGATTCAATCCCTTATAACACGATTATGTCCCATGGATATCCTTAGAACGTCTGTGGGACGCACAAATGTCCCACTTGAGCACCAACTAGAGATGTCCTTGAGAAATGTCCTTGACACAACTATCGAATACCTGAATCCTACAGATTTCCTCATAAAGCACTACGGAGGACATCCTTAGGACATCCGTAGGACAACCTATCAGCAATGCTGAGGGATATCAATCGGATGTCCAAAGGAAGTCTCAGGGATGTACGAATTATTCTTGATTTCGAAATTTTCTGGATCCCTCTACGACCAGATATTGCATAACTGATGGGGACATCCAGTTGAGTTGATGGTCCTTAGAAGGTCCCCAATAGATCCTGAAAAAGTTCTCCAAGGATGTCCAATGGACTTACGTGAAGGATATTGACAGGGAGTATTTATAGCCTACGAGCAATCATTCGTTGGCAAGGTGTAACTCAACGTCCTCGCAGGGACAACATATTGAAAGTACTGACTGGTACGTCCGTAGGACGTTATTTCTAGGATATTGCAAGAGTACAGTACATGTACCAAGTGGGACATCCGAAAGATATCCCTAAGAAACATTCGAAGGATGCCCCTAAGCGACATTTCGATTGTTATACGATCCTGGAGACATTAAGGGCGTCTGTGCAGAGATATTTGAAGGAATGTACCTTCAGGGACATCTCATGGTTGTCTAGAAGTAACATAATATGAGATCTGAAGTTATGCCAGAATAGGTACTACTCGGGATATCCGATGGATGTCCCTAAAGGAACTTTTGAAATCATATTCCGTCAGAGACATCCCAAGGACGTCCTTGCATGGACATTCTTTAATATGTATCAAACGTGGGACGTCTATATGAGGAATGTTATTTCTTGGACATTCAAAATGATGTACCTGCTGGGACATTCCGTGGACGTCCTTGCTCTTACATTGCATAAAATGTACGGGGCACTCATTTTTGATCCGGGACATTCGGACTTGAATACTACCGTAATGGGACGTTCCCAGGATGTTGTGTGCTATTAGAGATGTTGAGGCAATTACTGAAACAGACGTTCAGCAATATTGCAAAATTGCAGTTCAATAATGTGGCGTTGCAGCAATATAACATGTTGCTATGACATTGCTGGAACTTCAAATCAATAAACTCCACTTTTGCAATATTGCTAAACGTACGTAGATTTCTGCACACGGATTAAAAATACGAGTTTTTATAAAACAGATTTCGCGATGGATCTGACATTAATTTCCCATAGAAGGGTATTGCTGATGGAGATACCGAGCATTGATATAGTGGACTTGGTGTGGATGGTGGTACCATGCAGACATTGTTATATCAGGGATACTGAGTTCCGCTTTTCTAGAGAAAATACAGGCTTGAGTTCTGGGGTTGAATTAAGTATAGGATGTTGGTGCCCCAGACAGTTATTTCAGCAAAATTCCCATCGACAGCGTCAACCTGCCTTCGTCGTGAGTTCTCAGTTTCCTGGACAAACATTTGAATTCTGGAAGAGAATACGACTCGACTCATCGGTCGGCAGCAGTATGAAAATCATTCATTTCAACACACACGAATAATGTTTGAATCAAAACATTATATGTATACTAACTAGTATTCTATAACCGGTTGAATCGGTTCTTCATTGGTAATTTGAAGCTATTGAGGCAATATCGTTCTAAATTAAAACCTAATTAGTACAGGGAAGAGCCCGAGAGGTATAATATCGAAATACAATGAGGAAATTACTCTTATATAGTCAACATTTTCAGTTAGCTAGTGACATCTATTCAGAAATGAGTTAGCCATCCATTATTCTCACCCTTTGAAGTCTTTATATGCCTGCAGTCAAGATCCACTCTCCTGTAAAATTTATAATCAAGAATTTCTCTTGTTGAAACAATCCAAATATGAACATTGTTCATACTTACAGAAATGATGAAAGTAAGATGCAGATAAGAAAATGCTGTTGTTTTGCAATGACAAAACTTTGATGAAACATCATACTGTTCGCATTTCATCGAAATGATGTGATGCATGCTTAGAATAAATGATAAAAACCCTTCGAATATCTCCACCTCAGAATAACAGTTACTCATTGAAAAATGAATATGGCCTATAAGTCACTCGCAAGAAATGTCTACCTGGTATTTTTGAACGTCATTGCATAATTCTCATTGTAGAATGATGGATTGCCAAATGGAACACCAACATCAAACAAACCAACAACACACCTTGCCAACCGAAAATCTTAAAGTTGGACAATCGAATCAGAAATGTAAATTGTTTGAATTGACTTTTGGGAACTTCAACCTCATATCACCAATATTGATAAACCACTGCATTGAGAGGAATGAGCGTTCAATGTTTTCAGTAAACTAGCGCCATTGAAAGACAAATTCATTGAACTGGCAGAATAACCTTCCGCCTACTAACTATGTTTTCATTCAGAATGGTTTATGTGTGAAGTATATAGCTTTTCCAAATGGATGAAGTCGCGTTTTGTGAGCAACTTTCGCAATGGATCTGATATGATCTCACTATGAAAGGGCACTGCTGATAGTGTACCGAGTAGATAAATTGTGGACTTTTTGGAAATGATGGTACAAGACCTTGTTATAACAGGCATGCTAGCTTGTTTCGAAAAAATACAGTTCTGAGGTTTGGTGACGATGATCGAAACCGTCATTGACAGTATATAATAACTTTCGTCGTTAGTTCTCAATGTATTCTGTGATGAAATTAAAATTCTGGAAGATAACGCAATATGATGAGTACCGTCATGCGGTCATGATCAAATATATTCTTCACTAAGCATCCTATCGCAATATGATGTCTCGCTGTTCATACTTGGAATACCTTCATGATAGTCATATACGACCACTAAACTTTCACTACATCAGATGTTAATAGTCTTTGTTGAAATCACCCAATATAACGTTTCAATCATTAACCAATCATTGAAATGCGTTCACAAGTTTTTCACAGATGTTTGAAGCAGGTAAATACGTACCGACTTTATTATTTGCATCAATTATATTCTCTTGGTTGGCTACGGAAATTTCCATTTTCATGATTCACTGAATATTCATGGAGACCACTAGTCCAGAGCTCATTTCGAATTACTTCCTTCCTTAATGAAGAAATAATAAGGTGAAGGTCAATACCGCATATTATTTTCTCCACGAATAATTGAACAATGCTCGGTTTATGAGTCTCTCTAGGTCATTACTTGTTTGGCATAGTATAGGAAAACTAGATTTTCCGTTTCCATATCTCAATGTTAATGGTTTTATTTTTTGCACATCCGATAGGTAGCAGGATTATGTTATTTCCTCATTTTATTCAACGAAGCTGTCAATTATCAAAAGCAGACAGTATAAATACAGGGTATGTC